GAAGGGGGCGCCGGCGGAAGGCCCGCCTGAGGGGAGGGGGCGCGCGGACGGAAGTCCCGCCTGAGGGAAGGGGGCGCGGGCGGAAGTTCTGCGTGAGGGGAGGGGCGCCGGCGGAAGTTCTGTGTGAGGGGAGGGGGCGCCGGCGGAAGTTCTGTGTGAGGGGAGGGGGCGCCGGCGGAAGTTCTGTGTGAGGGGAGGGGGCGCCGGCGGAAGTTCTGTGTGAGGGGAGGGGGCGCCGGCGGAAGTTCTGTGTGAGGGGAGGGGGCGCCGGCGGAAGTTCTGTGTGAGGGGAGGGGGCGCCGGCGGAAGTTCTGTGTGAGGGGAGGGGGCGCCGGCGGAAGTTCTGTGTGAGGGGAGGGGGCGCCGGCGGAAGTTCTGTGTGAGGGGAGGGGGCGCCGGCGGAAGTTCTGTGTGAGGGCGGGGAGGGGGGCTGGGGAGGGTCGGCCGCGCAAGGGTCTCCGTCTTGGGAGCGGGTAATCGGGACAGAGGTTCACCCTGAGCAGGGGGCCCTCCTATGGAAGGGGCCCGGGGACAAGGCTTCCCCCGAGCGGAGGCTCCCCCGACATGGCTGAAGACCCGGATGCTGCTATTGTCTGGGGGTGGTCGGCGCCTCCACCCGGGCCCGCTGGAAGCGGGAGCGGTCTGGCTGTCGCCAACTTGCAAGTCGCAGACCCTGAGAGCTCAGCTCACAGTGGTTCCTGATCACTTATTGATCAATGCCAGGTCACTCGCCAGGCCACTCTGCTTAGGGTGAGGACACATTGCTCCAACTCATCAGAGATTTAAAAGGCAACTAGAAGTCGCGAAGCTCAGTTCTACAGCAGGAGGGTAAAAATTGGGTTTGTTTCCTAAGGGAAATGAATGTATTTCACAGGAATGAGACAAGGCTTCTCTGGCTAGTGTTGAGAACGCACATATTTTCTTCCCACCACCTTTTATGAAGCTGTATATACTTTCAGCCAGCGTTGTTGCCAAGCCCTGTGCTGGGTGCTGGAGGCAGAAAGATGAATGAGAGAGAGTGCCAATCCTGAGAGAACTCACAGACGACGGGGAGAGAGAGAGAAGCAAACGACTGCTGTGGGAGCAATTAAAGTAGGTAGATACACACATACCCTACACATTCCAATCGAAGAGTAGGAGGAGTGTGTTTATAATGTGGCACTTTTGACATTCTTTGATAAATAAAATTTAAAGACAATAAACACCACCAGAGTATGCAGAAGAAGTGAATCCTGCACCAGCCAGTTACCTGATATTGTCATTCAGTCTTAGCCATGTCATTGACTACATATGCATTCACTCCACACATATTTCTGTGTGCCTACTAAGTGCCAGGTTTTAGATCACCCAGCAGTGCTCAAGACAATTCAACATGTTTAATAATCCCTTAGGCTAGCTGGGTAAAATCTCCCAGTTTTCCCTTGAGGAGTAGGGGATAGTAAATACTTGTCAGACATCAAGATCTCAACCCACAGTTTCTATCCTCAATTGTAAAACAAGAGTAACTACTGTCAGAAAACATTCCCTATAACAGTCAAATTTCTCGCCTGGAGTATTGCAATATGATGGGCTCTTGGCCTCCCCTACATTCTAGATCCTTTAAAAATGTAAGTCAACATTTCACTGTGCTCAAAACCCTCTAATGGATTTCCATTTTACTCAGTAAAAGCCAAAATTCGTCCAATGGACAAGCCCCTAAATGGTCTGCCTCCTTCCCCCGACCTGGCTCTGATCACATCAACTAGTCTCTTCCCCACTATTGTGCTTCAGCCACACCGACTTCCTTGTACTCCGCCAGGGGAAGTACCTCCCTGCCTCAGGACTTAGCACATGCTATTCCTTTTGCATAGAATACCTTCAACACTCCCCGAGATACCTGCATGACTTGCTTTTTGCTTCAACTATTTGCTCAAATGACCTCTCAATGCACTTCCCCAGTCAATCTACTTAAAATGGTGACACGCCACCCAAATTCCTGATCCCCAGGAATTTTTCTCCACAGCACTTAACTCTTTCTATGTTATATAGTTTACTTATCTATTTTGTTTATTGTTACTTATTTATTCTCTTTACTACTAGAATATAGGCTCCACAAGGGTAGGGATTTTCATTTATTTTGCTTACTCTGTATCTCCACTGCAACACTTAGAAAAAGACCTACTATGTGGTAATTGCTCAATAAATATTAATTGAATTAATGAACAAAGAATATTTTTTAAATATATTTTTGGAAAGGAAATAGCATCCCTCCAGAAGAAGCACAACAATCAAAAAAGTATAGGAAAAAGGGAGGATGGGAAAAGAGGAAGAAAAAAGTATAAGGAAGAAGATTAAAAAGAGAGACATTAACAGCACAGGCAAAAAGTAGAAGTATGAGTAAGAGAAACAAAAGGAAGTTAAATCGGTCAAACAGTGGATGTTATTGACTGCTTGGAGTCAGCTAGAGGATTTCAACCTTGACTGAATTGACAGAACCGAGTTAATATTTCACTTGGGCTAAATGGCATTATTTAAAGTTATATAACTGTTTGCCTTAGATGAACCAGATGAGCATGCTACCACTTTTTTTTTTTTTTTTTTTTTTTTTTTTTAAAAAAAGATGACCGGTAAGGGGATCTCAACCCTTCCTTGGCTTGGTGTTGTCAGCACCATGCTCAGCCAGTGAGCAAACCAGCCATCCCTATATGGGATCCGAACCCGGGGCCTTGGTGTTATCAGCACCGCACTCTACCGAGTGAGCCACGGGCCGGCCCATACCACTTTGATATACATGAATTAATCTTCAGATGAAATTTGTGATAGAAATTTGTGTCGAGCTTACTGCAGAAGAATTGAATCAGCAATGATTCAGTAATCGAGAAAGAAGGAAATACAAAGAAATAAAAAGAGAAAAGAAAAGGAAGGAAGAGAAAGGAAAATCAGAGGAGAAAGTAGGGTAGGAGCAAGGCAAAAGCAGATTTGGACCAAAGCACATGTGGTTTCGGCAAAGAAAAGTGAAAGGGAGTGAATGCCAGTAAAGAGAATGGAGAGAAGTGACGGGTAGAAAAAGTCTTGCTTGTGCTGACTTGCTGTGTTCCTCTATCTGAAACTTTCTCCTTAGCATCTCTGCCTATGATGCTCTTGCTAGGAAGCTTATCTGATGTCCCATCTAATCCACACGGCCTCATGCATCCACTAGGAAAAGCTCTAGTCAGGCTGTCCCTCTCGTTTGGCCCCCAGTAGCCTTGTGCTGTGGACATGGGTTTGTGCACCTGAGGTCCCTCTGTCTTCCTCATCCCAGCCTTGTGCTTAGAAGCAATGCTATAAATAAATATTTGTTGAGCTGACAACTTTGGGGATTGACAAAAAGGAGAAAAAATAATGTAATAGTAGTGTAATTATTCAGAGCAAGGATCAGCAAACTACAACCTGTGAGCCAAATCTTTCCCAACACCTATTTCATAAATAAAATTTTATTGGAAACTGTCACATTCATTTATATACTGTCTGTGGCTACTTTGGCACTACAATGGCAGAGCCGCATAGTTGTGACAGAGACTGTATTACCTACAAAGCCTAAAATGTTAACTATTTGGTCCTTTATGGAAAAGGTTTGCCAACCTCTGGTAAAGATGATGAGCTCTGGAATCACACAGATCTGGGTGATGAGACTTCTGCTTTCACCTCTTAGCACCTGACCTTAGACAAGTAACCATCTCTTTAAGCCTTTTTCTTTTTTTTCTTTAATTTGTAAGATGGAATAGTAGTAGTACCTACTTAATTAAGTTGTTGGAAGGATTCAGTGAGATAGTGTATGTCAATCCAATCTCTCTTGTATATTTAACTTAGCTCAGTGTTAACATTGAACCCTGTGTGGTATAAAAGGGAGTAGGAGGT